AGCGACGATGTCTGTGTAAGGAATGAGAGGGCGTGCTCCAAAGTATTACGAAGTCTGATGTTGACGTACTGAATAGAGCACGACGTACTGGTGCTTTTCTAGTACTCCACAGTGGAGTTGAAACTTTAAAAAGCATTTGCGCTTTAATTACGTTTGTGTACGCCATTGAAAGAAGCACATTAATCTCATCTTTGCAATTCGTGTCACGAGGTAAAGTAAACAATCGACGTAAGTTTGGTTCGCAACTCGCAATTATACGAGTCAGATAAAGGCGCAACGATAGGACTCTGGCGTTGACTTGTGCTGTGCCAGAGTGTAGTATAAATAAGTATTTATAAAACTTTGGCCGGTATTAAAAGTGAACGTTCGGCCGAGGTAATAATGTTCAATAAAATAAGCACCAGTATGTGCTTTTCGTATGAGAACATTTGAGCGATCATATCGCTCGTCGGTGTACTTGCCAGCGAACAGACTGTCGTAATGCAAATGTGGAACAAGTGTAACATTTATTTTTTCACGTGCTATCGATAGCAGGAGATCTCCAAATGTTATATAGCTGTCCTGTTTCCTCCTAACATAGCCCTGATTAGGGCACCGGGCTATTTATTGCCTTTCCGAGTTCGATATGCGCTCGCTTAAAAATTTCCTATTCGTCCATATATCATTAATTTATCGAAGTTGTCTGTCAGCGCGTCCTGTTCGACTAACTTTATGTCTGTAAACATGAGTTTCCAATTGTGTTCTCAATCGCTTGTCGATGCAAACATCGACCAGGTTGCATAACTCCATTACTGTACATGCATCCCACATGTTTATGATGATCTCTCGGGTACTTGACTCCAATCCGTAATTGCTGAAGAATCTGGTGTGACCTGACGCCAGTCGGTGCGTTTTATCTATCTTCTTTTTATTATTTGTTTGAATATACTCGTGTAGGATGCTTGTTATCTTTAAAGCAATTCTAAATAGAGCTTAGTTAAAAGCACGAAATCTCGGTTAACTAGAGTTTAACTCAGCACACGAATTCCCCCTGACTCAGTTAGGGCAGAGCTTAACCCAGCCGACTACGAGTAAATAACAAAGTCACCAAATTTTTCTTGTTGTATTACGACGACACACAGAAGAATATAGTTACACGATCAAACCAGTAAATAATCTTAAAGGGTTATTTTACCGTTTATATAAGATGGTCGACACGAATGTCATGCCTTCAGGCGATGGCTTCTTACGCGGTACCATTTATATTAAACTAAATTAAAGTCCCTCAATTATATCTTCGTAATTCTTCTAAACCGATTTAGAAAGGCGTCAGTGGACCAAATATCTAGTTTGATACAAGTTACCAGGGCAATTAAAAACTGGCTTTCCCAGCGCGGTTTTGCTCGAGGGCAAGAACTTGTTTCAACTGACGTGGTTATTCTGAAAACCAATTATGTATTTAACGTCAAATTGTTTCGGTATTACTTTTTTCAAATTTAGAAGAAATATTGAGCTAATTAGATATTATCTTTTTTTTTAACTGTTAAAAACATGGTCTGATTGGCTAATATCCCTACTTAATAATTCGGCCCTGAAACGGAGTTGGGGCTTTCGGCATAATACCGTGTCTAAAATTGTACAGATCTTTACAAAATAATAACAAAAAAAAACATAAAATTGTTAGTTAACACTGAAATTGTACCATAATAAATTGACTGAATTTAAGGTTATCCCTGATGATAAAATAGTAATTCAATTTTCAATAACAAAAAAACAAAGATCATAGCAATGAAACCAATATATAGTTTTTTGTTTTCATTTTTTTTTTCGAAGTAAGTATTTATTCACCAAAACAAAATATTTACATTTTAAATAAGAAAAACATCAAGAGGTGAAAATTTCAAAGAGGAAGATTGGGTTATAGATTGGGTGGGTTATTGGAAGTATGGGGGGCATGTATAATACAACAGTCTCCGTGTCTTCTAATTTTGTTCTATTTGAGTCTGGGCCAGGTTCTACGGGATTAAGCTCCTGAGCGGGGTTTCTAAAATCTACCCAAAATTGCCTAGCTCTTTTATATACCGGCGTTGTTGAGGTTCTTAGTATTGGTATCATACGCTTTAGGAAGAGTATGGTCAATACAATACCCCAAAACTTAAGCTACGTGCCATGCTAGCATGTATCGGTTGTCTTCCACTTTGTTTTTGTTTATATTAATTTATTGTTAGTATTGGCTTTGAAGGACGGCTTGTGTTGCAATAATATCTTTTCTTTGACCAAGTTTAAATGATTGATCGAAATTAGAATATTATAAAAATCTTCGAAGCCGGACTGTCCTCCATGGGGCATATCTTGGAATATCTTTTAATATTTGAATATCTTTTGATATTCCAATGGCTTAAAATTTTTATTGATTTTTGTTAAAGTAGACTGTAAAGCTTGTATGTGGGCATTTGTATAAGTTACAGTGTAATTTATATACGTATAATATCGCCCATTGATTGAAAAAGTAAACGTTCGTCCAGAAACGAAGTTTTCAAAAAAGTGTATTCCCGCGTAGACATTCGTATCTGTAATTATCTGCGCAACTATGGTATCATTATTTTTGTTCAGAAACGTCACGAGTGGCCTTGTAGCACACTTATTGTTATAATATAATGATCGTAATATAGTAACATTTATATTCTCAGTGTATTTCTGTGAGGATATTCCCTACCATTATAGTAGCGTGCTTGCCTCCTAATACTTCATTTAAAATTTTACCTGGATATTGTTTGCTAAGAGTTTTATATATTCGGGTTAGAATACTTTCCAGTTGACACAATTGGTGTCTGACGATAAATCGACAATTACCTCGGTTATCCTGTCAGTATTTTTCTGAATAAAGCCAGTGAGAGTGCTGGAAACAGAATCCACCACTACGGAACTATTCCTGAGTTTTGAATATTTGGAATTGATGAATCCAGCAACTTTCAATGAGTTACATTGGTGCGTTTCAAATAAAAGTCCATTATTTGTGCAAAATGTTTTTGTAATAAAACATCTTTGAACATAGGCACTACATGAACCCTACTGGTGGATGCTAGCCCCCAATTCCGGAAAATCTAATCGGTAAATTCCACCTGACGTATTATAATGCAATGCCATTTTCGAATTAAAATTTTCATCTATCTATCAATGGGTAATTTTTCCAAATAATTGTTTGAGTAACTACAGTACAAGATCACGAATTAATACTACAAGTGGATAATCCTGAAAATGGACCTAAAAGAATACCTTTAATATGATCGTAGTAAATTGTAGTGAGAGCCAAATGTGCATTAAAAACTTTTCCAGTTGTCGTTTTTGGCCACTTATATTCGTATTCTACTTCATTATTAGTGGACCCAAGTGTTTTTTAAGGTTGATTTCAGATCACCTATATTTTCAGCCTTAAAAGAGTGCACCCAATTTTGGCTATACAAGGGATTCGAAAGATCAAGCAATCTCATATTTCGATTTGTCATAAATCGAACCGAAAAATAATCTAGTCGCCTGCCATTCAGTAACAGATTTTTGGCAGATGCACACAATATTATGACGATAATTTATGTACGGTGGCATTGCAATAATCTACGCGGGTGATAATATTTCTTTTACAAATGGGTGGTTCCGGTATGGAGTATTCTGCTACAGGTACCTTGGATCACAAAAGTTCACTGATAATGTTGGGCTAGGGGATTTAAGAGTAAAAGCATAAGAGTTAATACATACCGGTACATTTAATATCAAATTAATAATGAACGTATTCATGCTGGCGATTCTGACGTGTCGCCCTGCCGGAAAGCGTTGTTGGCGGTTCAAGCCTGTTTAAAAACAATAACGCTGTTTCAGTACTCGGCTCAGTTTGTGGATTACCATTAATATCTAGTTTATAGTATTTTGCATGCTTTTCCAACACTTGAAATGGACCAATATAAAGCGGTATTAGGTTTTTCTTTAACTGCATCAACACGTAAAAATACATGGGTGCAATCTTTTAATTCCTCAGATATAAAGGTTTTTCTATTTTGTGAAATTCTTGGGTTGGTTGGTCTCAACTCTTGGACGAATTGTCTAAGACGCGATATAAACTCATTAGGAGACTCTATTTCCTGATTCATATCGTTTGAAAAAAATCCCAAGGTAAACGTAACGACAATCCGTAAACTAATTCCGCCGAGGATAAACCTAAATCTAATTTTATTGCCGTGCCTATCCCTAACAAAACGAAACTTAAATTTTGATTAGGAGCTAAAATAGGTTGTATTGGGGAAATGGTTCGTTACTTCAGATTTCTGGCATGGGATACAAGCTCGACGACACATTTTTCCAATATCCGAATTCATATTTGGCCATGCATATCTAGCTTGAATTAAATGCCGAGTAGTTTTAATTCCCGGGTGGCTGAGGGTATAGAAACCAGTTAATATTATTTAACCCAGCACACGATTCTCTCTGTTTCTGTTCGAGCAGAGCTGAACCCAGCAGACACGAATAGTAACAAAGCAACCAACCTTATATTTGTTGTATTTAGACGACACGAGAAGAATATTATAACACGTTCAGTCCAGTGCATTAATTCAAAGAATTATTGTCAGTTTATATACAATAGTCGAGACGCCTGTTATGCCTTTAGGGTTTAGCTTTTACGTGGATATCGTTTATAATAAATAAAGTAAGAATGCCGTAATTAAGTCTCGGCAATTCTTGTAAAACGATTTTAGAAGGATGTCTGTAGCCAATTAAATAGTTTGCTATAAGTGGTTGAGTGATTAAAAACAGGATTTTACAAGTTTATTTTGCTTAAGGGCAAGATATCGTGTTTTTAACTGAAGGGTTATTCTTATGAAAGCCAATTGGGTATTTAACGTAAATATCTTTAAGAAGAAATCTTGTCCTACTGGGAATTACTTTTTTTCTTACTGTTAAAAATATGGTCTAAATAACTAATATCCCTATATAGTTCGGCCCTAAAGAACGGAGTTCGGGGTTTCGGCATAACAAACGTGTCAAAAATTGTACAGATCTCTACAAAATAATAACGAAAAAAATAATGATTTTAAGATTACACTGAAATTATAACAAAATAACTTGAGTGAAATTAAGGTTATCAGGCTGATAAAATAATAATTTGATTTGTAATAATATGGAAAGTTTTATGATAATTTTCAACTTATTTCCGAATTAGCTAGATTTAAAATTGAGTTATTTTTTTCAATGTCATTAATACTTCAAGTAATAAACAAAATATTCATGATCATACGGATACACATTAATATATATACTGAAATTGAAAAATTTAATGGGACAGAGAAGAGGCATGAAGAACAGGTAATTAGAAAAGTGGAAAGAAGCTTTTAGAAAAGGTTGGCGTATTATAGTTTTAAATTTGATGTTGACAGTCAAAACAATCATTTCAATTTAACATATTTCATCACACCTTAACCTTACAACTCGCAAGTAATGGCTTAGCTAGCCTTGATATCCCTTGTTGGGTTTGAAGCGCTTTGAAAAAAAATTAGCCTTCTGTGTGCGTTGAGAAAAAAATGCGCTTAGTTTATGTATTTGATCAATATATTCGTATTAGACGAATATATTGGCGAGATTAAAGTATGATTATATTTAAATCATCTTTTTAAAAGGTTGCCAGTGATTTAGAAACATATTCTATCGAAGATGGGATTGTTTATGACCGTCAAATTTACATTCTTTATGAATTTTATGAAAACCATTCGTAATTAAACATTTACTTATGTTGGACAATCATTTGGCCTAACGATTTTATGCCACTTAAATAAACATCCGAATTACCCTACCTTCAATGAATTCATAAAAATTGGAAGCCGAATTTTAAAACGCCAGAGAGAAATTGAAGAATTTTATCTTAAGAATAGGAGAAGTATGAAGCGTGTCCCAACAAGATGAAAAATCTGCACTGATAAAATAAAACAAAATTATGAGCATGAAAATAACATATTGTTACGTTTGTCATTCTTTTCGTCATTTGTCGCGTTAAATAATTTGTTTGGGCGCGTTTTATGTACCGTATTTCTTTGAAAAGTCCCTTCGTCTGTAGTTGATTGATTATTTCATCATTTTGATTATTTTTCGTTGATTTTTCACCTCATAATTTTTTAAAAGTTCGTTTCGTTTGTCCGTTAGCCATCGTCAAGATTCATCGTTTTGTCGTTCCATAGCCGTCTACCATTGTTCAACTGTTGTTTATCTTTAATGCATTGTCATCTCGTTCTTTGTTCGTTCTTTAGCGTCCGCACTGGGAATAAAAATTGGCGATTATTTTTAGCTAATGGCCCCTATACGCTTAGGTTAGTAGGAATCGTGAATATTACTTAACTTTTGTTCCTCCGTAGATGTTGTTGATCTCCGTTGGCACAACAGCAGCGAATCTGACTCCTCTCAGATAGGCACAATTCTCAGTCGGGGTCACCAATTTTATAGGAACCGGTTAATATTATTTAACCCAGCACACGATTCTCTCTGTTTCTGTTCGAGCAGAGCTGAACCCAGCAGACACGAATAGTAACAAAGCAACCAACCTTATATTTGTTGTATTTAGACGACACGAGAAGAATATTATAACACGTTCAGTCCAGTGCATTAATTTAAAGAATTATTGTCAGTTTATATACAATAGTCGAGACGCCTGTTATGCCTTTAGGGTTTAGCTTTTACGTGGATATCGTTTATAATAAATAAAGTAAGAATGCCGTAATTAAGTCTCGGCAATTCTTGTAAAACGATTTTAGAAGGATGTCTGTAGCCAATTAAATAGTTTGCTATAAGTGGTCGAGTGATTAAAAACAGGATTTTACAAGTTTATTTTGCTTAAGGGCAAGATATCGTGTTTTTAACTGAAGGGTTATTCTTATGAAAGCCAATTAAGTATTTAACGTAAATATCTTTAAGAAGAAATCTTGTCCTACTGGGAATTACTTTTTTTCTTACTGTTAAAAATATGGTCTAAATAACTAATATCCCTATAAGGGTATGCAATTAGTCAAATCTGTTGACTAAATTTCTTAGGTATGACTGGTTTCTTATTGAGTAATTTAGAATCACAAATCAAAGTTAATCCTGGAACTGAGGTATCAACAAAGACTAATTGTAAACTCTTTGGATTAGCTAATTGCGCCTGTACTTCTGGGTCCCTATTTTTCTCTTGAGCGATCGAATAATTCATGTAAACGTTGCTTATGCTAGTCTACAGTTTTACTATACACAAGAATATCATCTACATATGCAAATACATTGGTTAATTGTCTAGTACCATCATCTATTAGCCTCTGAAAACTGGCCTGGCTGTCCGATGGACCAAAGTGCATGACGTTCCATTCAACCTTGTTAAACCCCGTAGTAATCGCAGATTTTTCGCCTATCAGGGTGTAATGGAATTTGGAAATAAGCCGATTTTAAGTCAATTTTTGTAAAAACAGTACATCCCCTAACTTCATTGGTAAGAGATTGAATGTGGGGCATTGGATAAGTATTTTTCTTAGTCTGTAGGTTTAATAATCTAAAGTCACCACACAAACGATAATGGTATGGGTTATATCCCCATTTTTTTCAAGGACTACTGTGATGGATAATGACCACTCTTCGCTAGAGGGCGATACGACTCCTTGGTCCAACATTTTATTAATTTGGGCGGCGGCTTTTAATGGCGCTAAGCGTCGCGGTTCCGCAAGGACTGGGAATCCGGGCGTAACTATTCTATGGCTAACATGTTTACGCTTCGGCGACTTATAATCTACTATTAATATCTGTGGAAATTTATTTAAATAAGGCTTCATATTCATCATTATTATTAGACGGAGGGGAATGCTGAAGCAGAATTTAAATTACCGGTAGTTGTTCTTATAATGTTTTAAGAAAGTGGTGTTAGCGAGAATCATAACTTGTTTCTATTTTGATGACGTTTTACGTTGTTACGTAGACGTTGCAAAGGTATCGACGTAGCATTATTGCGACACAGTCCTGTTTAAGAAGTTTCTCTATTCATCCCGGGAATTCTAAATTGTCGCCACTAAATTGTTATATTGGGGCAGCACTTGAAAGGCACAGAAGAATTTGGGGGCACTTTAACCGCCGTGTACAGACTCTTAATTGCTTGAAAGCATGGACTAGTTGTAACAAATAACCGATATAAGTTTGGGGTCGGGACTGAGCTATTGGGACGGGTTTTTGAAGTCTCCAATCTCCTGTGCGTGAGAAGTAACCAGGCTACATAGAATCGAGCGCAACAAGTGGGTCTATTACAACCTTATTTTTAAAATCAATTAGAAGTCCATAATGTGTTAGATAAACATTTCCTTTAATTGGCATTGGCACATCAGCTATCCTAAATGATCACGGTAATAGTACATCATGGTTGAAAGTTAAAACTAAACGTAATTTACCAAAGATAGATATTGAAGTACCATTTATTGCTTGTAAAGTTTTATGACACTTTCACTTAACGGCATATTTACGTGATGGCAAAATACTGATTTCAGATCTCGAATTGGCAATTTCTCCAAAAAAAAACTTTAGGTAAAGCACGAGCAAAAGGGTCACATCTATGATCTGGATTCATAAGTAACTATAACTTTTTTAGTAAGTCTGACGGCAATTGGTTACCTAAATCCCCTGAGTTAAGAAATGATGAAAGCATTTGGTCTTCTGTCGGTGCATAGTTTTTTACCAGGCCCTTTTTGTATACGGATTTGTAGCGCATATGTCTAACAAATCCGCCCCTATTTTTTTAATAATTGAACAATCAAGAACAGCTCACCTCATTAAACATTCTCGTTTCTGATGTAATATCAGCTCTTGAAGAAGCAGATTCGACACATCGAATCCATTAAAGGGGAGAGTGAACCCAAAATTGCGGGATTTTAATAGTCTCGCGATCATTGGCTTTAAAATGTGGTAAGGGTTACGACGACGAAGGTATAGGTTCGACTGTCGCAGCTTTTTTTGTCATATACTTCAAAAAACATCTGCCACGATAAAAACAGAAGATCCGAGGCTCGACTGCGGCTTTATTACTTTTTTAAAAACAGCGATAAATCAACTTAAAGTGAAATGAGTTCAACATGAACAGCTCACACGAAACACAAACCTCGACTGTCTGTCACCGCCCAGAACGTGGCAGACGATCCCTTCTCATCCTCGCGTTCGGCGTTAAATCATTATGTAACACAGCAATGATAATTAAAACAAATTACAAAAACATGAAAACAAAAGCATCAAAAGCACGCGGAATAATTACTATCACACAGTTCCTCCCTTAAAATATCATGACCTCCTGGTCATGCTGTACACACAAAATATCAAAAAATACTAAGACTCAAATACTAAAGTCACACAAAGATCAGACTCCAAACGAAATAAAAAAATTAGTTCTATACACATATGCCCTCCCTACCATGCTTGATAAACACAAAAAAATGTACAGACAGGGGTACAAACTACAGACAGGAGTGAACCAAACACAAAAATTCTCTTCAAAACGAAATAAGAAACTAGTGCTTTACATATATATACACTAGAATTAAACTACTTATGAATTTGAAATCTGAACACTCGTGAACAACAAAACTACCAAGTCGTATAAAAACAGTTAAAATAAATCGCAGTCATTTTAGGTCACGAGAACTTGGTTAAAACACCTTAACACAACTCAAATTATACACTTATTCACAACAAGAATATAGTTCAGCTCATTTCAGTTATGAAGCGACCATAACGTAATTAAAGGGCTGAGACATGCCCCCGTTGATAACATAGAACGATATGTCTGAATTTCGACAGCGCTCAAATCTATTTACATCGGAATATGCATATCAATAGATGCAGGTTTTACTCCCAATTGTCATCATCATCGAAGCCACCCCCTCTCTATTGAGGTTTGACGTAGAAGCTACTCTGCTATCGACGTAATCTAGTAGAGTGTCTCCATTGGCACGACTATAGTCAACACCGCCCGTTCTTCTTTTGTCCCGAGTACCCAACTTTCCATCCTTTGGATCTAAACTGGTATCCATAGCACCTTCATCATATGCTACTGACCATGTAGTCAAGAACTTCTTGCTGTGCATGCGCGAGAAAGTTCACGAACAACCGGACGATAAATTTGCTACCTTTGACATAGCAATACAACGGGAGTATTCAAACGACCATTAATATCATGTAGTATGCCATTACCCATGCAGTCAGGAACTTCCTGCTGTGCATGCGCGAGAACCTTCACGAACGACCGGACCAATTTGATACATTTTCGAATTTCCACAACGTCCCATACGACCATTAAGATGAACATATTCACCAACCTCGCTGATAATATAATTCATCATCATTCACATGTTCCTCTTTCGGAATATAGAGGCCTCCTGCAGTAAAAGAGGTGGACGCCATGATGAGACACTGTCCAGAAGTTAAATTACGAATCGCCAATAAAGAATTTGTTTTAGTCCTATCACATCGAATACTGAAATCTTCTGATAAATTCGTCAAAATCACCCCCCTCGTGGAGGTGCCAATAAAAAGTTCCTTTTCGTTTCGTTATATCAATAATTCGCACAAATTATGGATCCTGGCGTGACCGCCAATTTTGTCGTAGCTTTTTCTTCCTATACTTTACAAAAAATCTGCCATGATAAAAACAGAAGATCCGAGGTTTGACTGCGGCTTTATTTCTTTTTTTAAAAACAGCAATAAATCAACCCAAAGTGAAATGAGTTCAACATGAACTGCTCACATGAAACACAAAACTCGACTGTCTGTAACCGCCCAAAACGTGGCAGACGATCTCTTCTCATCCTCGCGTTCGGCGTTAAATCATTATGTAACACAGCAATAATAATCAAAACAAATTACAAAAACAAGAAAACAAAAGCATCAAAAACACGCGGAATAAATACTACCACACGAATAAATCATAATTTTGGCTAGGCGACGATTTAGACGATTGTTTAGTTGATTGCATATTATGATTATCGGGCAACTGAGCTTTAATTATTAAAGGTGGTTTTAATACGTCTTCTGGCTTAGGTAAATTACTACTCTTATCAGTTGGAGCTAAACAAGATTTGGACTTTTTAAATAAATCAAATGGGAAGACACTAATCCTCATGGGAAATATAGAAGAAATAGGAAAGAAAATTGCAGTACATAGTAATTATTAAAATGCAGTAAATTCAGTGAAATAAAGAATGTCCGTAGAAATGTCCTTAGGCGATTTCGTCTTCTTCGTGTCAATAATCGTAGAACCGGATTCTCTTGTCGATGTTGTAGAGTTTTAGTTTTCGTTGATAATCGTAAAAAAAGGCGATAACTATTAGAAGATAGGAGATCTATTAGATAAGCATGCCCGTATAATATGCCACTTAATATTAAACGTGAAACTTACCTATCTTGAGTTCTTCTGTTTTTTTTTTTTTGAGATTCTGAGTTGATCTGTGTTCCTCCGCTGATCTGGTCTTCTCAAAAACGCTGTATTCAATTGTTGGCGCCACCAAATTTGTAGAATTCTTGTTATTTTAAAAGCAATCCTAAATAGAGCTTAGTTATAGGCAAAAACTCTCGGTTAACTAGGAGTTTAACCCAGCACACGAATTCCCTCTGACTCGGTTAGAGCAGAGCTTGGCCCTGCAGACAACGAAAAAAATAACAAAGTCACCGACCTTTTCGATGTTGTATTACGGCGGCACAGGGAAGAATATAGTTACACGATAAAACCAGTGAATAATATTAAAGAGTTATTTTACCGTTTATATAGGATGGTTGACACGAATGTCAAGTAATTAAACGCCATAGCATAAGAAATGGGATTTTTACCTTGAGATCAAAAGAACAGGGAAGCATGTCCCAACAAGATAAATCTACAATAGATAAAATAAATCGGAATTATGACAGTGAAAAATATAACATGCACTCGAATGTTCGTTGGTTCCGTCTCTTGTCGCGTTAATATTTCGTTAAAGCGCGTGTTATAATGCCTTGTTGCATTGAGATTTCGTTCTTTGTTATGTCATCATTTGGTTAATTCGTCATCGATTTTTCTCATTTTTGTTCAAAAGAGTTCTTCCATCCACATGTTTCCGTATACCGTTGTCTAAAAGTCCTTCAAGTTAAATTATTGTATTGTCGCCTTGGTATTTTATTTGCCACTTACTGTCTGTCAGCTATTTGCCACTTATGTCTGTCAGCAACTTCGTTGCTCCGTTGACTTTGTTACAGTTCTCCGTTGCGCAAATCTGTCTCCTCTTTTCAGAAGGTGCTGTCGTTTGTCGAATCACCAGTGTAGGATAAAATATTGATATCAACAACGTCTTGTATATATCTATCGTTTATTGTCGTTACTGATTATAACTCTATGATAATGATCAACGTAAACCAATTGAGGCGACGTGTTACATTAGTTATAATTCTGCTAAAGGAACAATTTTTTGGCCTAATTGGTACGAACGTGTGATTATTTACAGCGTCGCGTTATATAAGTGATTTTTTTCGAATTAGAAGAATTTTTCGGACTAGTTGGGATCTACAGCTTCATTTGTTTCCTTGCTGTTGAAATTTTGTTCACTCTCTAATATTCCCTACAGGTGTAGCAGTGTAGGGTTTAATAAAGTTTTTTCTAGTTGTTGGCTAAACTTGATTCTGACAAAGACATATTCATAATTTACAAAACATACTATAGAATTGTATATATTTACGTATACAGATGAACAGTTCCAAAGCATGGCTGATAAGCCAGACAACATCCGAAATTACAGTTCACGCATGCCGAGTTGTTAATTGTTCCAGCTACCCATTTCAAAATCATCCCTTTTCTCGCCTAACGAGTGGTCTACCTTGTTTCGGTATCCCGATGGCATGTCATTGCAGCCTACAGGTCGTCTAATTGCCACTTTTATTACTCTGTACGTGCTTCTAATTTTATTGTCCGCGTAAGATTAGGATAACTTTGAGTTACTCACCAAAGGCAGATAAATTACCCAATATCCTATATAATGCCTCTGCTACTAATGCGGAACAGTGGCCAAGCTTGTGCGTGCAGTGAAAAAAGAAATACACGAAATGTAACAAAATTTATAAAAACATAAAGCTGAAATTATGATTATGAGAAAGAATGTGTGTGTGTGTGTGTGTGTGTGTGTTATGCTGTTTTTGAATAAGAAAAGAATTGGCGTTAGGTAATTTTGAATTCAGCTGACACATAACTACAAATGCTTCGCTCTAATAAACCTCATTTACATCAATAAATTTTGAAGCGCTGAAAAAAAAATCACTCGTTGTCTTGCTGGCTGCTGTGAAAGATGATAAAGCTATTTGGGTGTTAAAAAAAATGAAGATTTTACATGCTTTTATGAAAATACATCAAAGCTTTTGTAAGATTGTTTTGACCGTTATGATTAGAAAGAAGAAAATATGAAATACCTACGAAGAAGAAGAATGTCTGTCCACTTTGTACACGAAATTGAAAATAATAAAATACAATAGTATACTGTACTGAATAAGTTCTTTGCGTTTCATACTTTCATTTCATTCTGTCTGACTAGTTTTTAATTATAACGGTTTTTTCTCGGGTATAAAAACATTCGTTATAGTGCGATTGCGTTGCACACATTTCTTTAAATATACCAGTCCAGACGTGTGAACGTTTTACACACATTTTTTAATATAACTTTTTCTGTGATAGTTGCTTACGCCCTGTTTTTTGCTCTTATTCCTTGGTTAATCGCACGGTCTGAATTTTGATTGGTATCGAATTATTTTTTTTTCATCTTACCCTCGGCTTGTTCAGTTGATATTCTCGGGGTCACCTTTCCAGCGGTTGATGTTCTGACTCTTTTTCGCAAGGCGCAGTTCGTTTGCCGGGTCACCAATGTAGGATTCAGTAAAGTAATTAATTTCTGGTTGTTGGCTAGCTAAACAAACCAGTGTTCGTCTGATCCGACAAGGACATGTTCATAGTTTCGAATAACATGTATTGCAATTGTATATATTTACGAATACAATGAACAGTTCCAGAACATCTCTGAAAAGCCAGGCAAAATCCCGAGGCACTCTGCACGCATGCCGAGTCGTTGATTGTTTCCTATTTCTAGCTGTTCCCTCGCCTAACAAGTGGTCATAAACTTGGGCATGACGCTGTAATTGCAGCATACAGGTCATATAATCGTCATAGTCTTCGTAACGCCGGGTGGAAGTCCAAAATGGATTGCCATAGTCAATCTTTACGTTGAAAATGTAACCAATTGTCGAATCCGAGATCGCAGAGTGATGATGGCCCGCTTAAAACTTCTTATCGGTTAACTAAAGTTTAAACCAGCACACGAATTCCCTCTGACTCAGTTATGGAAGAGCTCACCCCAGCAGCCTTATTTGTATATTTCAGGCTAATTTATTGTTTTGAATAAGAAGACGTTTCCTCTATTGTCACACGACGTATACCACTAGTGGATCAGGGTTCGCAGAGACGGTGGGTCCTCCGGTAGGTCTTTAGGGAACATTTAATATTTTTGCTACACTTTCTGTATTGCTGTTGTTTCTGATCTGATGAAGAAGACATACTCCTGGTACCGAATACATATATTGCAATTGTATATTTACAAATACAAAGAACAGTTCCAAGTCATGACTGATAAGTCACATAAAAATCAAAGTTCACTGCAAGCCCGAGTTCGTTAATTACTTGTCCATCGTTATCTTTTTCCTCTCTCCCAACGAATGGTCGCTTTTATGCTGGTTTTGGTATCCTTAGGGCATGACGCGTTATCGTCATCGTACCTTACAGGACGTCTAATTGTTACGTATTTTATGACTGAGAGATTGCTTCTAATTTTAAGATTAGTATGACTTTAAGTCTAAACACGTAACTTAACCAAAAGCAGCAAAATTACCCAATATCCTATACTATGCACCTACTTTAGCTGCGGAGCAGTGGCCAAGCTTGGGCGTGCAGTGAAAATATATACACAAAATGCAACAAAATTCATAAAAACATAAGAAAGTTGAAATTAGGATTATGAGACAGAATGTGTGTGTGTTTATACAGTGTATGGAAAGAAAAAGATTTGGCGTTGGTTTATTTTATAATTTAGGTGACAGATTACTACCAATGCTTAGCTTTAATACACTTCGTTTCACATTAATAAATTTTGAAGCGCTGAAAAAAATAAAAAAAATACGCGTGTTGCGTTTATGAGCCTTTCCGGCTATAATTGTGATGAGCCTCTTCGGGCGTTTAAAAATAAAAAATGAGGATTTCACTTGCGTTTATGCAAATACATCCTGAAGCGCTGATTCGAAATACGATCGTATATGAAATCATATTTTGAAAAAAATGTTAAAGTCAACGTAAAGTATATTTAAAGAAAACGAATGCTAATATCTGCCAAAATCGAATAAATTAAATATTTTTGAGTAAACCTCGTTGGGTTTAATACCAAATATAGAACGCTTAAAGATTAGAAAGAAGGAAACGTGAAATACCTGTGAAGAAGAAGAAGAATGTCTGTCCATTTTGTACACGAAATTGAAATATTTATAGTACAATATAAAATGCTACAATCGCGCGGTTTCTTGAAGTTGGTTCGCGGGCGTTTCTTTATGAAGTTCTTTCGTTTCATATCTTTCTCATTTGTTTTTTGTAGTCAAGAGTTCCGACTAGTTTTTGATTTTACGGTTTTTTTCTGGTGTAAAACAGTTCATATAGTGTGAATGTTTCACACACATATTTTTATAACAGTCCATATAATGTGAATCTCATACACCTTTTAAATCTAACAGTCTTTTTCTTTTTGTCAGAATCTTTGATATTTCGCTTGTAATTCCTTGATTTTTCATACTGTCTGAATCTTGGTTTGGTGGTTGTTTTTCATTTTCCTTGATCTTTTTATCCTCGGCTTGCTTGTGGAGTTGATGTCTTTGGGGTCACCTTTAGTTCTAACGGTTGCTTTTCAGACTCCATCTCAGAAAGGCGCTGGTTCGTCTGTCGGGGATACCATTTTTAGGGAACATTTAATATTTTTGCTACACTTTCTGTATTGCTGTTGTTTCTGATCTGATGAAGAAGACATACTCCTGGTACCGAATACATATATTGCAATTGTATATTTACAAATACAAAGAACAGTTCCAAGTCATGACTGATAAGTCACATAAAAATCAAAGTTTTACTGCAAGCCCGAGTTCGTTAATTACTTGTCCATCGTTATCTTTTTCCTCTCTCCCAACGAATGGTCGCTTTTATGCTGGTTTTGGTATCCTTAGGGCATGACGCGTTATCGTCATCGTACCTTACAGGACGTCTAATTGTTACGTATTTTATGACTGAGAGATTGCTTCTAATTTTAAGATTAGTATGACTTTAAGTCTAAACACGTAACTTAACCAAAAGCAGCAAAATTACCCAATATCCTATAGGTCTTCCGGTTGGTCCAGTCCGGTGAGACCGCTCGGTCTAAGCTTTCAGGGTGACGTGGTTTGAAGTGAACGTGAGCGAAAAAAAATTTTTTGCTCATCCTTTAATCTTTGAAACCGCAAAAGGGAAGATTTGCGACTAGAGCTATCATTTTACACTATTTTAGTGAGAATGCTTTAGAATCCGTCGTTTAAAAAAATTACCACCATTGGTATTTCATTTATTATCACACCGTTATAACACACACACACACACACACACACACACACGAAAAACAAAAAAAATGTGTAAAATGAAATGTAAAAAGTAAATACGTGAAAAGTCACGTTAGTAATGTCCGTCTCTAAGTTTTAAGTACTCTTCGAACCAGAATACTGGCGGCACCACATCTTCTAAAAATTCACATTTAGTTAGCATTAGGTGCAACATGAAGTCCTTGATATAAAGAATCATTGTCTGTATTTTATACGGGTCCTCTATTCGCTTGAGCTCATGTAAATTGACTGATGTGTATTCATCCCTTATAAAATATTTCTTGAATTGCGGAATTGTGTGGTTGAAGCCATCAACCCACCCGTACATTTCCAAGGCCTGTGAAACAAAGCATTTTTTAGCAAATATTTAATCGGTCATTGAGGTTTAATTGTTCAATGTTATTACATTTACTGAATTAAAATAACACACAGAAATTTCTTGCTATTAATTAATGTAGACATTTAATGAACGTAACAAAAATAATAAGATAGTTAAATTAACAAGGGACTGGTTGAAATTTCATCATTATGAACTCTTCGTTTCCCGTAGAAGTAAAGCATAGCATTTCGATACTGTTTATAGGTAAATATTTTGTTTTTATGTACTTTAAAGTTAATGTTAACTCCACCAGCAGGTTTTTTAGAGAAGAGGACAATTTGCATCTCGCTAAACGTGATATTCTGGTGAATATTTTGAAGTCCTTTAGCGGCAACTTTGAATGTATTATTACCTTGACAAAAATATGTTTTTGCACAAAGGCCCACAAAAGTATCTCCAGAAAATTCGACTTTAAAAAGCCCCGGTGTGCGTTTATCGAACTTAAACTGTTTTATACAACATTCACGTGTATCGTCAAATGGTAACAGTAACAGGTTTGTTTCATTAAAAATGAACTCGTGACGATGGGTTTCACAAGATTTGGAAGGAAACCAATTATGATAATTAATGTAAAATTGTTCCAAAATAATGAAGAAATAGTTTTTTAGGATTATGAAGTATAGGATATGAAGTTAAGTACAACTTTTATAAAAAAGAATATATGTAAATTGCAGGTGTGTTCATATTCACATGTTAATGGAAGAAGACTTGTAAGTAACGCCACTGAGAGCTGATAAGAATCCTAAGTACCGTGTTTAATTTATTTAAATTTAAGGTTTTGAATTTGTTGTATATACTTGAAAACTGCTGTATCATTTTCTGCATAATTCTCCCCAAAGTGGTTCACAATAGATTTCATAGAAAGTCCTTGACAACGTTTTATTAAACAGTAAATGCAGTATTGGCCACAAGCCTTTGCTTTGTTAGATTGTAACTTCTTAGTATTCAGCTTGAAATGATCACCCAGAAAGTTGTAAAAAAAGCTCGCTTGAAGGGTATTATTCCAAAACTGTCAAAATATTCTGGCTTGTCCGCCCCCTCATCGTATATGCAGACTCAGCGGCTTCCACCTTTCACGCTTGGGTCAGTATTGGTAATAATGAATCCATAAGGTTTTTGAGGTTTAGTCTTTGGTATTTGGTCCAACAGTTCGACTACCAGTGATGAATTGTTTTCGTTTCTGGTAACCAGTGTTTACATTTCCAGTAGCTTCAAAATGTGAAGCCTTGTCAGGAAACCAGAGAACTCCGCTTAATTGCGATTTTTTAGCCTCTGTGCCAAATTCGAGAAGAGTGTTATTGTAGTCTAGGTAAGGGTAGTTTGTGTGACTTCCTTCCAGATTTGCATCATTCAATGAAATTTCCACCCGTCCCCACATTAAATTTGAAAAGTTGGAAACTGGGGCTATAGCATATATAATTGGTAAATGAATATGATGTCACCTTATATTGCTAATTTGTAGATTATCTCTGACTTGCAAGTCACCCGTTCACCCTTCAGCTCCAACGCCCATGTGAATGAAGATACGTTAAAAATCTCTAAATTTCCACAACACACAGAATACAAATCTTTAAACATTTTTCCAAACTAGCTTAACATTGAAAGATATCGAGTCGTATTTATACATCGATCATAAATCTAATTAAATACTGTAAACGTGAGCTCGTGATTCACGTTATAAACAGAAACTCCTATTATCTCAATAAGGGTAATTATGTACATCGTACGGATGGGAACTTAGATATAAATATTTCAATCCGTGCCAAAGGTCTTGAGAATATAAATTTTAATTTGATAATGACTGGGTTGGAACATGTTATGTTCTTAAAACTGGTGTAATTTGATTCCTACGAAAGTCTTTGTTCGAATTTTGGGAAAAATTAACTTTGTTTTGATGATTTCAACATGAAATGGGGTACATTTGGGGGTTAGTTGCTATATTATCTCCCCCTCCGGATGATTGGGAATTTAAAGATTTAGCACCTCTAATAAATTGAAAATATATAGAAAAATACAATACACAATGCTAAGATTAATGATATAGGTCAAAAAAATATTTACATGTATATGATCTACAATGTGACAAGACATTGAAATAAAGAAGAGTTTATAGAAAAGGTAAAGGTTGTAAAGTAGAATTACAGATGGATGGCGTATTTCTATTTTAGAAATTTTGGTTTGGACGGTTAAAACATATTTTCAATTTAATGTATTTCGCTAAGTTAAAATACTTATACTCGCTTTATCGCATTGTTACGATTTTGTAAACCTAGTTGGGCAATATATGCTTGTAAGTTTATGCCATCTCAGGGCTTTTTTGAAAAAATAACGCTTTTGGATACAATTTTTGTTAAACGAGCTTATTATTTTACCGTTCTATATGACGGCTTTGTATAGAATTAAAAGTATGTCTCGCTCGAACCTACTTTTAGAAAGCATTTTAATCCTAACGAAATCTATTTAATCGAAAAGAAATGCTAACCACAAGTATTCAATAATATAAATCTATTGAAAGGTATTTGAAATTAGAATATTCAAAGCTGTTACCATTAATTAATTTTATAAAAATTGAAAGCCGAACGAAACGCCATGTATATATAAGAATAAAAAAAGTACTTTATCGTAGTAATAGTGGAAGAATGAAAAATGTCTGTCTCAATGAGGAGAAAAACCTGCAAATCATGAAACAAATTGTAAAATACCATGCTCCTGAGCTGTATATCCATTAGGTATGCGCGATAATTTCTCTATTGTTCGGAATAGAGCTCGTGATTTACCGTAAAACAGTCCATATAGTTCATTGTTTTCAACAGTTCGTTTTTTGATCAGGTTTTTCACCTCGAACATATATCATGTTCTAAAAGAGTTCATTTCGATCGATGTTCAATACAGTCCATATTCATGATTTTAACGTTTCCAGAGTCCGTTACCATAGTTCAACTGCTTTCAATTGAGATTATTGTCTTTTAATAATGTTTTTGATTATTTAGGCTTGTCAGCAATTTGCTACTTCAATCGTTGTTCCAGGCAATTTGAATCTCCCCGACGTTCGTAAGTTGGTCGAATTTGATTTTCGCACGTTTTGTAGAGACGGTTTCTCGGCAATTGTTGAAAGCTGCTGAAAGAAAACAGATATTAGATCAGCAATGGCCCCAATTAACGACTAATATGTTAGATCAGTGGTTCTCAACCGCCGGTCCGCGACAACTTTGCTGCCGGTCCGCCAAATATATTTCAATATTTAATATATTATAAGCAAATTGCAAAATACAAAGTATTGACGGCATGTCCATCAATTTTGTGATTTTTCAACCGATATTTGTGAAACAACCAAATTCGATGGGAAGTCCTCTGTTCATTTCGGACTCTGAACGGCTGGATTGTTCGTTGGGTCTATGACCTCGTAACGGCGGTTAACTTCATAATGGAGGAGTTTGATAGCACTGTGTTTCCCAAACCTTTTTTTGCGACCTCAATTTTCGCCGGGAAAAACACGGGATCCCTCAAAAGAAAACATGAAATCGTATGAAAACCACATTGTAAAAATCTCTTAGATTATATTTACAAAGGTTCTTTGGCGAAACATAGACGGACTTGATAAAACGTGGTAGATTATAAGTCTGCGATACTACTTTTAGTTAAATGTTAACATGTTACAGATTGCCCCATGATTAATTCGAAAGTAAAACAGAGCATGGAAGTAAAATAGGACAAAACGAGTACGGGATCACATCTTAGTAAGTGCTTTTCAATATGCTAGAATTTATTGTTGTTTCGTGTTTGACTGTTTGGAACGCTTCGAAATTATATATATATATATGAAACGTCCAAAATACGATAATATTGCAATGCGAAAATGTTCACTTTTATGCGGAGGCGATGTGGACAAAACATATAGCCTACTCGTAGATTTTAGACACATGCGGAAAGTAACAAGGCGCTTTCGCAAATGGTCGAAACTTGAGTTCATTACTCAGCCAAGACACCTGTCAATAAATGCGTTACTTGTCAAACACCTAAATATGTATATCCAAGCGGCTACACAGGTACATAATAACAAACTAAGCAACATAATTTTTGTAGTCTGGCAAAAAATCTGATTCGCGAACCAGCGGTGGGACCACCGGTTCAGCCTGCTTACGAATGAAAAGATAAGGACTAAGGTCAACTACTCATTCGGATGTAACACGACAAAAAAAAGAAAATACTATTGGCGTGTTAACACCGTCACTCAATTGCATTTACTAATAGGCCTACCCGCCGACTTGCACAAATTTTACTTTCCAACCCTACTCACTTGTGTGCGCAAGTTTAACAGAAATTAGGCGCCTCCAGAAAATCTTCACGCGACCCACAGTTTGGGAACCACTGTGATAGCACATAGTACGGTACCTGATTGAGAATTTCGCAGATAGTAGGCCTATAATCTAGCGAGGTTTGATAGTAAAATAAGGGCAAACAAACAGCAAAGTATTATCCAGTTTCCGAAAGAAACCCATAAGTGGAAACCAAGTTAGTGGTGTTGATGGGACAGGGCAAAGAGACTGGTACTTCAAATTTACAACATGCCCTGATACGACCTTGCAGCAATGTTGATGAAGATCACGCAGAAACAAGCAAAAATCGAAAAGGTAACTTTATTAGGCAGTATGATAAGAAGTATTTGGAGTTTCACTATTGCTCCCACAAGCGAAAAAGTAGGCTACCCCTTCCCATGTGCCTATAGTCTGCGCCAAAATTCTTTCAAACGACGCAATGAAACCGGCAAAGCTAACGCGACATTTTTACTCGCAGCATCGCAACCTCGTTGGGAAGCCTGTTGCGTATTTCATTGTACTTTTGTAGTAATTGCATTCTTTTAATTAAGTTTTGTGTTCATGACATTTTTGGTTAATTTTGAAGGTCCGCCGGTCCGCAAAATTTGTTTGGAAATTTTACTGGTCCGCGAACTGAAAAAGGTTGAGAACCACTGTGTTAGATGATGGAAAGGAAACTTATCTTTCGCTTGGTCAGCTTTTTTGGTTGATTCCGTCCAATTGTTGCATGTCCTGGTTGTTGTCCGTTAATCTGGTCCGTTTCAGAAGGTTAATTCAAGTCGGTTTTGTCACCATTTATAGCATGTATATATAATTGTTAAATGAATGTGATGTTACCGTATATTGCTAATTTGTAGATTGTCTCGGACTTGCAAGTCACCCGTTCACCCTTCAGCTTCAACGCCCACGTGAATGAAGATACGTTAAAAATCTCTATATGTTTTTAGTCGTAAATTTACACAACACACAGAATACAAATCTTAAACATTTATCCAAACTAGCTTAACATTGAAAGATATCGAGTCGTATTTATAAGTCGATCATAAATCTAATTAAATACTGTAAACGTGAGTTCGTGATTCACGTTATAAACAGAAACTCCTATTATCTCTAATGGGTAATTATGTACATCGTACGGATGGGAACTTAGATATAATTATTTCAATCAGTGTCAAAGGTCTTGAGAATATAAGTTTTAATTTGATAATGACTGGGTGGAACATGTTAGGTTCTTAAAACTGGTGTAATTTGATTCCTACGAAAGTCTTTGTTTGAATTTTGGGAAAAATTAACTTTGTTTTGATGATATCAACATGAAATGGGGTACATTTGGGTCTTAGTTGCTATAGGGCTACTATGGCGTCATCAGGGATATCATTACCATCACCAGTCACACTTTTAAATTTTACGTGGAGATAAGAATTCGCTAGATCGAGATACTGAGTATCAACAGCCGGGACAATAAATTCTATCGGTGAACCATGGTTAATTGTAGAGATTGATTGATGTTCTGTGAAGTTACCTTTTAAAACAGACGCTTGAGTTGGGTGTATTTTAAATAAATCTAATTCAGATTTAGCGCACTCAGGGCTTAGACCGTGAACAAGTTCTTTCTTTTCTTTGGCGTTTGCGAGGTCGTCTCGAACTGAAGGCAATTTGCGATTTACGCTTCCTTTTAATACTCTTGGGAAGTGCTGTAATTTTGCCTAATAAATTCCGACCTGCTTGTTTGGACTGGTCACGTAGGGAAGACTTTATATTTTTTCCATTCAGTACATCACTGGCCATGCGAACACCAGTGTGTAATAGTTCCAGAACCAACAGCTTTTGCCCCTTTTGTTAAAAATGGAACAATACTCTTGCCAAAAAATATCCGTGGTACAGATTTTCCGGATAAAAGGTCGTGCTTTCATTTAATATTTCAGTATCGATGACTTCGCGAAATGCCCCCAATTTTAAAAAATATTTTAGTATCTCGAGACGATATCGGTGAACATATGCGACAGTACGCGATTAAATACAAATAATGTCTCAGCCCAGACGTTTACTTATAGGGAGTTATTTTGGTGATAAAATTCTTTTGGCCACTGAGCTGGTCCGATGGTATCTTGATCACGGTCTCCATATTACCCACATATACCAATTTATCGAGTATGAACCCAAAGCATGTTTCGTGCCGTTTTGTAATGAAGTTTCAATGGCTCGCAGAAATGGTGACATGTCACCGGAAAAAGCAATTTTAGCTGATACATATAAGTTACTCGGTAAGTTTCATTTTATTAATAACAAATTTAGTAACACCTAAATAAAAATTATAATTTAAAAAATTAATTAATAAGTTTTGTTTCATACTCCGTGAATATTAAGATACCCTCTATTTATTCTACCCTTCTATCTACAGGAAACTCTTCGTATGGAAAGACTTTGGAGAATGTTGCGAACTACCGTAAAATAGCATACTGTGATGGTAATGAAACACGCGACCTGATCAATGAACCTTCATTTGTTGGCTCGACTCAACTTAGTGACGACTTATTTGAAGTAACTTCAAAAAGAAAACAGATTGTGTGCAAATTATCCAACCAGATTGGATTCGTCGTGTACCAAAACGCAAAATTCACCAGAATATCACGTTTAGCAAGATGCAAAATGTCTTCTTCTCTAAACAACCTGCTGGTGGAGTTAACATTAACTTTAAAGTACATGAAAACAAAATATTTACCTATAAACAGTATCGAAATCCTATGCCTTACTTCTACGGGAAACGAAGAGTTCATAATGATGGAATTTCAACCAGTCCCTTGTTAATTTAACTATCTTATTATTTTTGTTACGTTCATTAAATGTCTACATTAATTAATAGCAAGAAATTTCTGTGTGATTTTAATTCACCGTCTGTAATCTTTCACTTGATTTTACATTTATTTTTGTGTGTTTCATAATGTGATAATACATGTACGTATATCGAGTACGTATATCAAGTTTATTATTCCTGAATATTTTTAAATCATGTATTTCTCTTCATGTGCATTAATATTACCACTACTTTTATTTCTATTTACAGTACCTAATTAAAACTTAAATAAGTTTATTTCAATATTCACAAATCAATCAAAAATAAAGAAATATGAGTCAAATGAATACCTGCGTGTCTAAATACACAGTGACTTTAAAAGTAGGTGTAATAACAATAAACAATTAAACCTCAATGACCGATTAAATATTTGCTAAAAAATGCTTTTATGTTTCACAGGCCTTGGAAATGTACGAGTGGGTTGATGGCTTCAAATACACAATTCCGCAATTCAAGAAATATTTTATAAGGGATGAATACACATCAGTCAATTTACATGAGCTCAAGCGAATAGAGGACCCGTTTAAAATACAGACAATGATTCTTTATATCAAGGACTTCCTGTTGCACTTAATGCTAACTAAATATGAATTTTTAGAAGATGTGGTGCCGCCAGTATTCTGGTTCGAAGAGTACTTAAATCTCAGAGACGAACATTACTAACGTGACTTTTCACGTATTTACTTTTTACATTTCATTTTACGCATTTTACATTTTTTTTTTTTGTGTGAGTGTGTGTGTGTGTTATAACGGTGTGATAATAAATGAAAAATACCAACGGTGGTAATTTTTTTAAACGACTGATTCTAAAGTATTCTCACTAAAATAGTGTAAAATGATAGCTCTAGTCGCAAATCTTCCCTTTTGCGGTTTCAAAGATTAAAGGATAAGCAAACAATTTTTTTTCGCTCACGTTCACTTCAAACCGCATCACCCTGAAAGCTTAGGCCGAGCGGGCTCGCCGGACTGGACCAACCGGAAGACCCACTGGAGGACCCACAGCCTTTGCGAACCCTGACTTATACCACTGCAGCGCTGCACCGATTCCCCAGTCTGTCGGACACACTTCAATGAGGCAATGTCTTTATTATCAAGCTTCGATCCGAAAGGATGAAACAATCGGTAATGTTTAGTAGCTTATATACTAATTACCAATAAGTGAAAATGTACTAATTAAGTATGGAACAGAAAAAATTATATTAAAACTGATGCGTCATTGTGATATGACTTGAAGCTGTTTAAATCAATTATATCCAGTAGCTAAACAAGTTGAGGAGGTTTATAATTCTGAAAAGTCTTACCAACCCGGGTTACCTCCTTTAATATTATTAATTTAAAAAACCACAGTAAAATCTCACTAAAATACCAACATTGTATTTTCTATTGTTTGCTAGCAAATCCTGTTGTTCTGATCTTATCTTATGAAGACATAGTCAGTTTCCGAATTCATATATTGATATTGAAAATATTTACGCATACAGATGAACAGTTCATAACAGCCTAACAAGCAGACAAAATCCAAGTTTCAATGTACGCACGAATTGATAACTCTGACTGACCATTGTTATCGTTCCCCCCTTCTCTCCTAACAAATGGTCGTTTATAAGCTGGTTTCGATATCCCCCGGGGCATGACGCGGTATGGTCATTGTAGCTTACAGGACGTCTAATTGTTACGTATTTTTTGACTAAGGGCTTGTTTCAAATTTAAGATTAGAATGATTTTAAGTTGAAACACGTACAACTATGAACCAAAAGCAGCTAAATAACCCAATATACCATACAATGCACCTACTTTCACTGCGGAGCGGAGCAGTGGCCATCGTCATTGTAGCCTACATGAGGTCTAATTGTTACGTGTTTTTATGACTAAGGACTTGTTTCTAATTTCAAGATTAGCATAATTTTAAGTTGAAACACGTACTATTAACCAAAAGCAGCTAAATGACCCAATATCCCGTACAATGCACCTACTTTAACTGCGGGGAAGTGGCCAAGCTTAGGCGTGCAGTGAGAAAAAAACACAAATTATAACAAAATTCTTTAAAACATAAGAAAGTTGAAGGTATGATTATGAGACAGAATGTGTGTGTGTGTTGAAACAGCGTCAGTTTATTTTAAATTTAGCTGACTGATTATATACTACAAATGCTTTGCTCTAATACACTTCGTTTCACGTTAGTAAATTTTGAAGCGCTGAAAAAAATAATAAAAATAACGCTTGTTGCGTTGAAGAGCCTCAATGGATATAATTGTGAGAAAAATCCGGCCTCTTTGGGCGTTTAAAAAAAATGATGATTTTACTTGCGTTTATGCAAATACATCCTAATAAGCTAATTCGAAATTCAATCGGTTTTGAAATTATATTTTGAAAAAAAAAATGTTAATGTCAACGTAAAGTATATTTGAAGGAAACGAATGCTAATATCTGCTACAATTAAGCAAACCTTGTTAGGTTTAGAACCAAATATAGAACACCTTAAATTAGAAATAAGGAAATATGAAATACCCGTAAAGAAGAAGAATGCCTGTCCATTTTTCAAACGAAATTGAAATAATTATAAAACAATATATAATGCTATAATCGCGCGGTTTCTTGAAGTGTATTCGCGGGCGTTTCTTTCTGGAGTTTTTTCGTTTCTGCTGTCTCATTTGTTTTTGTAGTCAAGACATCCGACTAGTTTTTCATTTTACAGTTTTTTTTCTGTTTAAAACAGTTCGTATAGTGCGAATATTATACACACATTTTTTTCCATATAACAGTCCATATAGTGTGAATGTTATACACACATTTTTGAATATAATATTTGTGTCATAGTCTGGTTTTTCGCTTTATTTCTATATTATTCACACGGTCTGATTTTTTGTTTGGTTGTTGTTTTTGATTCTCCTTGATCTTTTTACCCTCGACTTGTGCAGTTGATGTCTTTGGGGTCACCTTTCCAACGGTGGGTTTCAGACTCCCATCTCAAAAAGGCGCTGTTTGTCTGTCGGGGATACCAAAATGTAGCAAACGAAATGGTATTTGCTATTGTTCGCTGGCGAATTCTGTTGTTCTGATCTTATCTGATGAAGACATACTTATGGTTTTGAAGACATATATTGAGATTGACTATATTTAGGCCTAAAGATAAACAGTTCAAAGCAGGCTAACAGCCAGACAAAATCCAAGTTTCAATGCACGCACGAGCTGATAATTCTGACTACCCTTTGTTATCGCCCCCCCCCCTCTCTTTCTCTTTCTCCTACTAATGATTTATAAGCTGGTTTTGTATCCTCATGTCATGACACGGTATCGTCATTGTAGCCTACTAGACGTCTAATTGTTACGTGTTTTTATGACTAAGGGTTTGTTTTAAGCCTAGATGACTTTGGGTTCAAACACGTACAACTATTAATCAAAAACAGCTAAATGACCCAATATCCCATAGTATCACGTAATTCTTTCAAATTCAATCCGGGTGATTGCAAGTAGGCAAAGCCTCTCAACGCGTGTTTAACAGCTAAATATTCCGCGTAGCAAAGGCCGCTCGCTCCCATGTACGCCACAAGATCAAATTCATGCCGAGATAAAACATGCATCGTATTATACACACATTATGCTAATAGAACTTTCTTATACCGCAATAATTCTTGATTCTCTAACAGTCTAACTAAACTTTCATTAGGTGGAGGAAAAGTTTAGTTTGAAAGCAAGTGGATTGTGAATCAGACATAGGTTTTGACGAATATGATATCGCAACGCATATTTAATAACTAGTATGGTCTAATATTTTTAAACTAAACAAAAAAGTAGGGAATATTAAATCACACGTACACACTCGCACAATTAAATAAAAAAGAGGATGTTTAAAAAGCTGCATATAGATTCCAATTCAGCACGCGGCCACTAACAGCTTCGCAAAAGACTGAAGCTTTGAAACCCAACTCATATACTTGGTTTCTTGGCATTATATTGCTTCAGTTGAGCTTCGTCGTTTAATGTATTGGATGGAGTTTTTTATTCTTTTATTAGAACCTTTCGCTCTTAGGCAGTTTGCCGACGTGTTCATTAAATGCGATAGTCATTTCGTCAACGGATAATCCACGTTTGGGTTGGGGGTGCTTCCCGAACAAAGGTATCAAAATATTCAGTATTGGCCTCAATGAAAAAAATGACCAGGAAATCCTCGTTATTTTTTTCTTCTTATCGTTAAAATGAAGCACCAGCGGATAGTTTGAAACCGATTTCGAGACATTATCTGTGCAAATGACGTGGTACTTCTCGGCCATTTTCGGCTCCAATAGTCTTTAATGTAGTTACGGTACCCTAGTCTTCTTTGACTCCATAAGAAAAGAAATGTAGTCATGTTCCAGGAATTTAAAATCACATTACCTTTTTGTGTTGACGATAAGGTTTCACTGCGAGATGGTGTTTCTGACTTTTTTCTCTCTGTAATAAAAGCTCGTGCCATTTTTCCAATGGGTTCAACTTTTTTGCGCGGAGTCAAGGATTTACTGCAACATGGAGATTCCGTCTCTTTATTTTCTCGATAAAATCCCGTGTCACTGTTGCAACGCGTTCAGCTCGGAATTGAGAGTATATTAAAATATAATAAACAGTCATGGTCACCCTGAACCGATGAAGCCTACTCACTCCTGACGTATTGTTGCACGTATGATATTATCGAATTCTTCATCATCAGAAAACGACAAATCAGTGAACTAATATAAATATTAATCGATTACTAAATGAAAAAATTTCATTTTTTTCATTTAGTGGAAATTAGCTTAACGATGAATATGCAGTTTTACAGGAGTTTATGAGCGCATCGATTATATTTACCGCACACTGTTTCATAGTGAACAATAAGCCTTCACTCATTAATATACCTTGTGATGACACTGACTGAAGAATTAAGCGGCGAAGACATCGGTACTGAAATACTGTTCATAGTGATGTAATTTCCACCAGTCCCACGTGGAGGTGATCTTACAAGTGAGTGTAATAACACTAAACAATTAAATCTCAATTA